CGTTATTTTATCTATCAGCAGCATCAAGTGTAGAAGTGTATAAAATTGTTAATCTAATTCTTAACCGTTACCGTTCTCCATTAGGAGAACTTAATAATTTCTTGTATTTACGCAATTACAAATTATAAATGAAACTAGAGAACTTAATTTAAATATACAGCGTGTCGTTACAACCGCGACAATAAATGAAAACACGTCTAACGCTACTTGTCAATAATCATAAAAAAATAAAACGTTAAGAAATTCCATAATTAAAAAAAATATAAATTTCAAACAAACTAATTAAATAAAAAAGAACCGATGACTACACCTGACTGATTCATACATTCAGAGACTATTTCATTCGTTGCCACAACGTCGCATTACAAGTCTCTCCTTCTAAAGATATGTTTTATCCCTTTTAAATTCATTCAATCCATTCATACGCTTTTTGATCTTTACAAATGAAGTTCATTACAGTTTTATACGTAAGGGTGTTCTAAAATGTTTGCTTTGTAAAATTTAATAACTTGGTAAATATTGATGTTTAAAGAATTTAAACGCTTAATACAATTTTAAAAAGTTATCCTCTATACGTGTGTTTATTTACTGTCGCGGTTGTACACGCTGTATAATGAATAAACAGCATCGAAAACGCGTTTACTACGAGTTCTTGTTTTGCACTTAATAAATTACAGTCCGCAGCCCTCACTTCGTACTTCGTTGTAATTATTAAACGGGTTGCCGAAGCTCTTTTATAAACAGACTAACAATAATATCTACCATTCATATGCGCATATACATCGCGAATAGAAATTTTGAATGCACAAGGCGCTCTCACGTATTATTAAACGTTATGGAGCAACACGATATTACAAGGAGATAGTCACTTGATTATCCTGTCACCGCACACAAGTCACAATTGTGTGACCGTGAAATTTTTGATTACATCGGTGGAGATTGTTGATCATAGAATATTGTGGAATGTGACAAGGATTCAATTCCCATTAAATTCACTACAAATAATTGTTCTGGTCTCGTAAACTTTACCCTTTTTTTTTTTTCAAATGGTATTTTTGGAGCCACAAGGTAGTCTTATTCTAAAATACGCGTAAGGTTGGAAAGAGCTTTGCCTAACTCTTAAGAAACCTTAACCGATCCAAAACTACTACCTAAGGTCATAAGTCGAATCTTCTACGCTGACATTGTAAACTAAATGTATAAAAATCTCTTATATATATGAAAAGACCTTAATCCTATTCGCTATCGCTGAATTATATTTAACCTTGTCCGTATTTAGGTTACACTTCAGTACCATCATTATTGTCAAGTTAACGAATGCCGCTGTACGTACGAGAGTTATGGACTAGATTGTACGCGCGTGTGATTTCAGCAAAAATATGTTAATGATACCCTTTTGATGTGCTGCGACCACGACTTATAAACATATTTGTTCAGAAAGGCATTAGCATACTAAATAATAATGGCCTCAGCCTTTGGTATATTTTACTCTGGACCCATCGTAACAAACGTCTATTTTGTCAGTCCTTCATTACAATCAGCGAACGAGAAAAAAGCGAACGGAATTATAACAAAAAGAGGACGAGCGCTGACGTAGCGGGCTGCGGTGGTTGATTGCTAGGCGATTAAACTCGACGTTAATTATAACTCGTCAATTGTGCCATTTTTAAATATGCAGACTTGTGTTTTTAACATAAGAATTAAGTCGTCGAAAACGCTTGTCTCGAATTAACTATTCGATTTCCATGAAAAATAACTAGAAATTATTCCAGTCCCATCTCAATGTAGATATAACTAGAAGATAATTATGTCTCAATTGAAGATAAATATATTTGTTACAACTTATTTTTAAAAGAAAATAATAAAACTTAACTTTATGAGCTGTATCTGCTTACAATATTGACTTCAAGAGCTTTGTACAAGTGTACAAAACTTAATAAATAGAAGCGTAAAAAGTAGCAGCGAATCGTCGAACAAACTAGAAGCCAATAAACGTATAGGTCCAGTGGCAACACTTTCGTAACAACTACTCTAAACTTAATACAACTAAAACTACGAACTATTTGGTTTTTGATGTCTATTTAGCCCTATTTTAGAAATAATTGCCCGAAATAAAAGTAAGCTTTGTGCAATTACTATTATGGGGGATTTTTATTTGTTTATTACTTATTATTATTTTACTGTTATTAATTATGAATTATCTGTTATATAATATTTAATTAAATTTAGTCTGTATATTCAAACATATAGCCGAAGCTATAACAATAATTATTAATAAAGTAAATTGTAATCTTAACACCATTATGTCTTCTCTGATTGCCTAGTACGCATTAAAGGTCACCTCTTACTTAAAAAATGTACCACTGCTAAAAGCTGCCCAAGTTGGCTATAGAGGTGTATATATAGGTACATAAACTACAGTGGGCCAATTTTATTTCAATAGAACATTCAGTAATCTAAATTATCAGCCACTATCATCGACGTCCGTCTTATATTTATCATTCGTTCCTAAATGAGGTTCCTTCGTTCAATTCTTTGCAAATTTATTGTAAGTACCTATATCTGTATTTAAAGAGTAGCGTTAACCCAACGCGCTCTCAAATAATGGAATGATCCATTGACGTTTTGACAACGAAGCAGGAAGCCATTAGATGTCTTCACAAAGTGGCTCGCATTAAAAATAAATAGATCCTCGCAGCAAGATCTATTGTCGTACAATTGTAGGTGACACTGTGCTCTTCTTAATACCGAAATTTTAGGACGATAAATGCAAATATATATGACTACTCGTAGCTGCTGCCCGCGAGTAAGTCTACGTAGAATAGGCTGAAAGCGTAACATTCAGACGGAAAGACAGATATACATAAAAATATGTATATATATTATAGCCTATGTCTTATTCTAGTGTATTAGCTATATTACTGTAAAGTTTCATTAAAATCCATACAGTAGTATTTGCGTGAAAGAGTAACAAACATCCATCCATACATACAAACTATTGCCTTTATAATATTAGTAAGTAAGTAAGTAAGTAAGTAAGAATATACTCGTAATACAATGGCTTATAACTACGTGTTAAAGTGTATAGAAATATCGTTTCATACCGTTTATGCTTCAGTGGATATAGGGCATGAGAGAATTTTCTCTCTAAATCCTTTGCAACTTCTTAGCGAATGTTAATAATTAATATGTTCGTTAGCCCGCCCTGAATCATTAGCGACGTTAAGGTCCGGTTTTTGAACCAGTACTGCTCCCCTCCCGCCCATAGTGGACGAGGTGTATAAATATTATTGAACCTAATATCATTATAGTTAAATTGTTGTCTTGTTCTAAAAGTTTGATATAACATACAAACAAAACACCACCTATAGAAATTACAACGGTCCAAAATAAAACATCGATTTCCATGTCCATTATATTTGATTGACGCTAAAAGGAATTCCGTCCATGCATTACTTTATCGACAGCAATTAATGTCAAATATGTACGGCCCGTAGATGAGTGGAAAACCATAAATTTTGTCTCCATCGAAAAATTAGAATGAAAGGACAAATAGAATATAGACACAGACTGATAGGCAAATTGCAAATAGGTGATTATTTTGTCTGAAAAGTTGGCAAGAGAGCGGGTGGTTCACATGATGTTAAATGATTACCGTCGCCCATGGGCATCTAAAACACCAGATAGGTTGCAGAGGCGTCGTCAACGATAAAAAAGTAGGCCCCGGCTGCCTCGCTCATCAGACGAAACTCGAAAGCAAGAAGTTACACTTCACACCGATTGCTATGAGGCGCCAGACAAGCCCGCCGTTTCATGCATGATTATATTAGGTAGCTGGATATATTTTGCCGGAACCAAATGCAAGTCATACAAAATATATTAAACTAAAAATTTGTTTTAAGAGACTAATAAAATATTTGTTCGGGGTGGGAATCAAAACTGTGATCCACGGCGCTAAAGCGATAGTAAAGATTTTACAATGTATTGTAAAATCTTTACTATCGCTTTAGTCTGGTTTATTAGGTCTATTAATTACAATAATATTACCATTCTAATTTTTTATAATAGTGAAATTCTACGATAATGAACTCAGAAAATCCTTCCAATTTTCTGAATAATGAAGTGGCTATGGTAAAGGTTTTTTATCCTTCTAATGAATAGTTAAAATTTTTTTTAAGTTTTTGTACATCTGATTGGGAAAGCGGTGGAGTACCACAAACTAAAAAACTAAACTAATAACTCAGTGGCGTAATATCAGCCTCGGCGCCGGGTTTATGGGTACATTACCCACATGTGACAACTAATAATGTACCCCACAAATAATTGTTTCTGGTTTGAGTGTTTGTTCCCAAAGAAGGTTGCGTTAAGAAGGCGGTCGGTAGTGTAAACATAGCCAAAACCCCTTACAACATAATTCACGTTTTGTGCTGACCCCAACTAAGGGCATGAGGATGAAGAAATAGTTACATATAAAGAGCTTTGAAGCGCTAATAAGCCATAGGAATAATGTCAAATGTCAAATTATGTAAATGTTAGTACTTTGAAACCCCATGAGACAAAGAAGCTCATATCTTTAATCCCCGATGAGAATACGCCGAAAGTCAGTGTTATCATCCTTTCACTGACCTTATTAAGTTTCAAATGTGACACGTGGCGAGCCATTTTCGTAAAAGGGGAAAAATTATGAAATATATTTTTTTATGTGAATCCTTCAAACTGGAACATCAGGGGCTTATACCACTTGGATTAAGATCATCCATGACCCCCCATTTCTATGTTTGCTCCCATGTACAAGAACAAAAACTTGAGGTACTACTACTTTTTGCTAATCTCACATTTGTCTCTTGGTTCATAAAAAATAATTTATTATAAGAAAAGGTGGTAAACAAACTTGTGAGCTACCTAACTATAGTTAGGTAACTACTACTACTACTACTACTACTACTAGTAGCACGTAACTACGTGCGTTGTTAACTGATGTTAAGGGATTATAGCTAGTTATGGACCAGCCAGAGTACCTCACTTACAGCGTAAGTATAAATTCATATATTGCCAGTATACTATGAGGTCGTGGAGCTTCCCGCACTAGAGGTTTATTTATTTCTCTTTATTTACAATAAAATGTATAGGAAAAAAAAATCCTCAAGGAAGGCCTCCTTCTTGGTGGACCGATGACATCGTAAGACTCGCGGGCAACTGATGGATGCAAATGACCTAGTTGTGGCGTTCTAAGGGGCTGTATGTTCACCAGTTGACGTCTTGCGCATGATGATGATAAGTTGATGATGGTATGGTATAGGAAAAGTATAAAATCTATATATAATCTAATGATCATACAACATTGCAGTGAAACCAGTGAGATAGATCAAAACAAAACAAAAGACCTCAGTTAAGACAGTGGCACAGATCACGTATGAGCTGCCGTAATTGAATTTGGTATGTTAAACTCAAAATAGAAAGTCCAGTTAAGATTCGTACGCAAATGAACAAAGGCAATTTCGTGTTGGCGCGAAAGTCAAAATTTTTCTTCTTCTTTTTCGGAGGGAGGAGAAATTTATTACGAAAATTAACTTCGCATCAAGCGTACAAGGCACGTAATTAAACTTTTTCCATTCGGATTCCTTCTGTTGTTTGACAGACACAATACCTGTAATGACTTTAATTCGGCATCGAAAAATCATCATAGCCGAGGTAATGAAAGTAAAGCTATGATATGTTTTTATCAAGCGGACAGCGGTGGTAAGAATATTTTATATTTTCATATATATATCACACCCAATGTGGTTCACGCGAAACTCCAAAAGACTGAGCGTTCGTTCAATGAGGCAAAAGACCTTATTTTGATTATCTTTTTATCCTCTTAGAGAAACATAATCTAAATTAAATCTTAATCGGGATACACGTCATTGCCCGACTGCAATGGTACGTATTAAACGAAGGTCGAAGACTTCTTATTCAATTAAACTTTTATTTTTTAATTTAATAAGATCACCTTATTTGTAAATTGTAATACATATACAAAAATAGACTAAAAAGAAAATAAAAAAATATTTAAAACTTAAACTGCTTTCTTTAAACTTCAAAACAATAGATACAAAAAACGCTTCAAAAAAACCCGAAATGAAAGGTAAAAAATAACTTACAATTGAATTAATAAGCTTTTAAAATGAATCATAAGCCAAAAACATACAACATGTCCCTTCGCATCTATCGTGGCCCATTAGCGAATTTAAGAAAATAATGAAACATGTATTCGTAAGTCTGCATATTTGCCAGGTATTTATTATATTTAACAGTTTTAAAATCAGAAAAAGTTTACAAGATTAATATTATTGCAAATAAACAAAGAGTTCACCTCTCTAAAAACGTACCTACATCAATTTTCGTACTCAGAGATAAACGCGATAAAGTACACAACTGAAGCGATACCGTTTTTCTTTCCAGTCTTGTTTTAGGGTTGGTAGGGAGAGCACGTCTCTACGATACGAACACGTCGCTAGATAGTCGCGAAAGTTTCATTTTCATTCTTGATTTTATTTCTCTCTACAACCTGAAGCTTTAAATTTATTGAACCGGTCTATTATTTCAACTATACGTTACATACTTAATTTAAATAACTTATGCATTTAATTTTATAAACATACTTAATTTTTATTCAGTTCAGTACGGTTTCAGTTTTCGATTTCGATGTGAGGTGAAGTGTTTCTGTTGTTTTTTCGATGGTTATAGAAGTGGTGATTAGCCAAAATAGGTGGACTAGAGAATGACTATCATAACCAGAATGGGCAGCTCTCAACTCAGCCCCTGTGCAGCGGTTTCTACGTGAACTGGACGTTATGTTTATACCACGTACAGCGTATTCTAACCATCCTGATGCCTTTTTATGATGATTTGGTAAGTTAGAAACTTTTTCTGTCTGTACTTTCCAATGCGTTTGTGGTTTTCCGATTTTTTTATGGAACGATCTATATTTTGTTTTTATATTTGATATAAAAAAGTATAGCACTTTACCATTATTTTGTCATATACGATAGTTGTAATTATTATGGCCAGCCTAAAAAAAATATAATAAAAAAAAGGTTTCAACATAGTTAATCTAAATCATCACTGTAACAATTATTATACTGCGACATATTTTTACAACAGACAGCTAATTTTATGCATTTAAATTTGTATCAGGAAAGTAAAGCAACACGTAAACTACAAAATTACAAGTTTACAATCTATTTCAAATAAAATCGCATAACGCTTTTTGTTTAAAACATTTTTAAACATGAATCTGTAAGCTGTTTACGTATTTTGATCTCTTTTTAACTACATTAGATAGCACCCATTCGCAACAACACAAGGAATTTGCTACGAAAATTATCATATTTCGTATGAAAGATACCATAATTATAATATTTAAATGTAAGTTATTATTGAAATGAATAGGGTAATAAATTAAATATTTAACAAAAACATCATACCACATTCTACATAAAATGGTAACATTATAAATCAATAGCACATCGAGCTTTGAATACTTTGCATTTTGATTTTGTAACTCTATAGAATAAGCTTTCCTTATGGAAAGTTAACTATAAATTTGTTGACTATATTATTTAAAAATAGTTCCTTTTTCAGTTTTCGTTCAACATATCGTTATAAATATATTATTTCACATTTAAATTTGGGAATATAGTTTTATTTTTTTTCATACCTTTAGGTATATGATATGAAACAACTCTCACGTTCGAATCCTTTCATTCAATCATCAATACAACAGGTTTCTTATTTTTGAGATTCGTAAGAATAGAATCGTTTCATAATGTTATGTTATCTATTTTAGTATCTTAAACACAACACTGAACGGTCAAGTTTAGACTTAAGATTTTAATGTTATCATTTTAATGTAATCATCTATCTAAGGATGATCAGTGCAATCTTCTCCAATTTTTGGACTTCTAGCGTTCACAAAAATCTCAGTCCCATAAATGGTATAGTGCTATGCCTGCTACGACTTGGCCCAAATTAGCTCCGTAAAACATGGACAGCACTTGGTTCATGCCAATCTTTTTAGGCGATCCGTTTAATTACGCGTAGCTTGTTTTCGTTGTCAGTTCAGACCTAATTTCACCAACTTATAATAAACGTCGTAAGTTAATCTGACTTTCAAATACGCATCGCTTTCAAAACATTTTATCTTACCAGACAAAAATATAACATATCCAAAACAATTCAGACATTAAGTTAATGATTTTTGAAATGCTCACTCAAATTATAACACTTCCATAACCAAATGTCTTCGTTTTAACTTATTGACGTGAAAGAAAATGCGTAGTATTGAACATAAACGATAAATAATGCTTCTTAATTGAAAATGGTACATAATTCAAATACGAACAGAATAAAATTACATGCCCTTGATATTCATCTTGATAGAAATATCTGTAATTGTTCAACGAAGTAATAACGTAATGTAGTGATTAAATTTATTGCCTGATTTAGAAAATTAATTAACTTTTACCGTATTGCGGAAAACTCCTGAGATATTGTATAATTAATAGTTCATTTAATAACCTTAAACTTATAACTAAAGTGGCAAAGAAAATTACTTTATGGATTTCCAAAATATCATAATTTTTTTCATTGCCGATCATAAGGATTCATTGCCTCCTGTAGCATCCCTTACATGCATAAGCTTTTCAAACGAAAAGCTCGTTAAAGTTACATAACGCACAATCACACGCTTCCTCCGCAATTTTACGTAATACATTAAAATTTCGAACGTTGCCACCGTATAGCACTTCTAAATGTAAGAGAGAGCCACAAGAGGCGATTATTGAAAATTTTATGTTTGGAAAAGCGCCTTCAGTATCGGATCTTCGCGAGCGACGGTAATACTCCGACACGGCTGGGATCTTTTATTGGAAAACTTGAGCGCTGTTGAACCTTCAAAAAATTCAAACGTTGTCGATATGAAACCCGAACCGATATTGCGCGAGTATATGGGTTTTGTTTGTTATTTTTAAGTAAAATAATATTAGTGCTATGTTCAAACTATGTACAAACGCTCATAGTTATGAACCCAATTATCGTCCTCAGTAATAATTCGATTAATTAATTCATCTCGGTTTTCACTACAGAGTTCCAAAAACTCCTGCGAGCACTCGATGCGCTGTTGTTTTTGGAACGGTGTCAGCATTTTCGGCACCCATCTTGCGCTAACCTTTGACACCATGACCATGATACTCAGGACACTGATACTAATTGCTTCTTTTTCAAACGAGCATTTTCAAAAACATTTTTTCCACATTTTCGACGATATCCGAAGAAGTGGCTGCAGCTCTAGGCTGGTCTGGTCAGCCATCGTCTTCAATTGTCTCTGTGCCTTGCTTGAATAGGCCATGATATTTTTAAATCATGGTTTTTTCGGAAAGCAGATGACAACCCTTCCATGATGATGTGCGGTGATTTCCCCAGCGAAGCTCAGTGAAGAACTTTATGGCACAGTGCAGAAAACCTCAGTTTTCCCTACTGTTTTGTTCGGTCACAGATAGATACTGTTGACATTTTCTTCCCAACAACTTGTTTATTTGTCGATAACTCGAACAAGACTTACCAAATTTATCCATGTTTGTAGCGGAATTAAGTCATCAAAATGTCCTAAGTATAACCCGCGAACTCTTTGACCATCCCTCGTAATGAAGATGTTTTTAATTACACGGTTTTCAATTTTCAAATGTGAAAAAATAACGGTCCATAACTAATTAAGCAACAATCGATGTTTTATAATATAATAGGTTTTTAGAATAAACAATCAATGCAATAATTTACACTAACCTGACAAAATCAAAGAAGAAGAATTACGTCATGCAGTAATACATTTTGACATGAAAAAATATACTTGAGACACTTTTTTATTAAATCACGCATGGGCTAACTTGCTTGTGCACAAGTTTTTATCTTTCTTTGCAAGACAGATCGTACATAAAATCACGGACACTAAAAGTCCACACGGACTAGGAATAACTATTTATGGAGCATGCGAGCAGTCGTTTCATATATACAGTTATTTCCATTCATATATATGACGATAATTTCATTCATATGAGAAAGTAGTTTTTGCACATAACGACGCCAGAAAGCTGACGTTCTTTTGGGCACGCTGCGGCGTTCGAACCTGTGTCTAAGTCAAAAAAAGTGAAAGTTCTGCCTTAGTGGGTCTGTATTATTTTAAAGTTAAAATCAACTTTACTTTCGACGATGTTAATCCAAGAGTTTGGTGCAAATTGGCTACTTACGCAGTTCATATAAATACGCCTAAATCGAAAAGATGAAATGTTCGTCTATCTTTTTTACATTTTTCTGAACAATCATAAATCCACATAATCATCTGGCTCTTTGTCAAGCCACACGTTTTTCATAGTTTTTTTTATAAAAAACGTGATTTAGCTTTCAAGCATTTCAATTCTGAAATTCGAAGAAGCTTTTTTATGCCTCTGTTTTTGTTAGAAAGAGGGAAAAAAGAAAATAAAGTTATTTACAAATGTAATATCCGATTTTTCAATTTCTTTTATTTCGCTTTTAAATTCCATTAAAGTATGCTGTACCCAAAAATTGGTACGTTATCTGTCTAATGGGCGTTTGAGATAGGTATATACTTATATTGCACAAAAACATTCCCATAGCACGAATTCAACGATTTCCGTTCCAGTTTTTAACGGTTTTTGTTTAAACTAGCTTGTCTGCGCATAGAAGGACAAATGCAAGTAAAATTATTTCATTAAATTCATAATGTTGTGAATACGAAAAATGAAGAAAATTAAGAAAAATTACCTTAGGAAAGAAGATAGTCGGCCCTCAAGATATATTAGAAAACATTACAATAGAGAACTTAATCTCATTTTATTCTTCAAATACTTAGAATTTTAACCAAAAAAACTTTAGTATGAATGAAATGTAGACTATTCTAGCAAAAAACCATGTACAAACAATTGAGCATTATCAAAGATTACATCTACAATAAAAACAAATGAATTAAGACATTTAGTATTATATACATAACCTATACAGGTTAAATTAAAAAAATAATTATAGTCGGGATTTCTGATGAAAAAACATTAGCGGCATTGACTGCTAATCATATAATAATAATAAGTTTATTTCCTTTTAGATATACAATTTTGGACTTAGTGCTAACACATAATAATGTTACAATAACAAAATGGATAAAAATTATTTGGATATTTAATTAAAAAAAAATCATAACCCCGCAAAAATTCTTTCTTCTTGCGTAATTGTAATGTTTTATTAAGTGTGTCTTCGATAAATATAATAGGCGTACTATTAATATACTACCATGAGAAAACTGTTTGCGTTTGCATTGCATCTGCAAGCTATAATACTCTTATTTAATTAATTTGTCTTTTGTTCCTGTTTGTCAATAATAAACTAAATAAAAAAGGGTACCGTGGTCATAGGGAAGCTCTAATTGAATTGTAACCATATAATTGGTCGCCAATGTCAATGTTACATGGACATTCAATCCAGATGGGTGTACCAGAAGTAGGAAGTGCCGTCGGAACGCGTAAATAGCGCGCACCGTCAACATTCCAACGAACCATTAAAGTCGCCATAAAGCGTCTGAAAAATGACATCTTCGGTGGAAACATATCGGTTTTTTTATGTTTACACCTTCTGTAATATTCAGCTGCTGTGATATGTTTAGAACTATTTTTGTAGCCCGCGAGGAATTTGAAGACGATATTTTTAAATACTCATTTTTCTTTCTTTTATTGAGGTAGTTAAGAATTTGCAGCGAGTCTGAAGAGTTTCCTCACGCGATATAATATTTGACTTTAAACACTGCTTTCGTCTTAATGTAAAATAAAAATGACGCCCCTATCTAT